GATGCAAAAGTTCTCAAGCGCCTTACAATCGTGCTTAGGGATCTCCCATCATAACTTCTCCACAAGTATCATCAACATCTTTTTCTGCCATGTCATGTAGTGGTACGATATCACTTTCAAATCAAACCCTCTGATCTTCTCGATGGTATCTCAAATCTCCTTCTTGCCATTGGTTTCAACAGCTTTTATGGTCGAAACATATAAGACATTGGAAGTTGGCGGTAAATGATTAACGCTTCGTTTGATTCTTCCTCTCTTGTAGTTAAAGATAATTTTAGAAACAATGGTTAAGAGAATGAAGTTTTCTAACAAAGAAATAAATACCAAAAATTTTCTCAAAACAATAAAAAAATGAAGTTCCCTAAAAAGCATTTCCATAGAAGCGTCCCATCCAAACAGCGATAAAAAAAATAATTTCTCTATTTCTAAACAAAAAAGGAAAAAAAAATGCTGAAACAAATGAGGTTTAAGGTGTTTGATGCTGAAGATGGAGCTATGAGATTCCACGGGTTTTGGGAGATTTCTCAATTGTGGAAATTGAGATTGCAATCTCATGTAGTGTATTTTAGCCTATCTCCTTTTAAATCAGCCATGAACTCATTATAGCCATAGAAGTTCCGCCCTAAGTGTTTCACCTTTAAAATGGACCATGAACTTAAAATGGACCATGAACTTGGAAAAATCATCTCTACGGGCGAAGATGTGCCTACGTCGCCTGCCTAAGGTTTTAGGGGGTTTAATCTTCTCGGTCTGCGTTTGCTCGGTAATCTCTTCCCTTTCCTTGTGATTTTCGGCTGAATGGTTGTTAATCGCGTGGTTGACCCTAGTTTTTTGGAAGGGAAATTCAAATCGCGTTCTTTTCGTGATGCGTTATCCTGGGATTCGCACTCTTCGGAGTTCCCCTACCTTAAAATTTCTTCTTGCCATGGATTACCTGCTTTATGGATTTTTGATGAAGAAATGATGGCTTTAGCTGTACCATTTGAGTTTGCATTGGTTGGCAAGTTTCCTAGTAGGCGGCCCTCGTTGGATGCTATCCGCAAGTTTTTCTTTCAACTTAAGCTTTGTGGTGATTTTTCTGTCACTTTGCTTAATTCCAAAAATGTTTTGATTAAACTTATGAATGATCTTGACTATTGCTGTATTTTCTCGCACCGTTCTTACTTCGTTGGCAACTATTATATGAAGTTGGTTAAATGGACTCCCCTCTTAGATGTTGACATAGATTCTCCTACTATACCCATTTGGGTATCCTTTCCTCATCTTCGTCCACACTTATTTACTCCTAGAATTTTACATGGGCTTAGTTCGTTGTTTGGCCGGCCTTTGCGGACGGATAATGCCACATCCAATTGTTTGAGGCCCTCTGTTTCCCCTGTGCTTGTAGAATTAGATGTTACAAAGAAGTATGTTGATCAAGTTTGGGTTGGCTCGGAAACTATGGGATTCATGCAACGTGTTGAATTGGAGGAATTTCCTCATTATTGTAATCACTGTAAACTTCTTGGTCATTCTAAAGCTGAATGACATATCTTAACCCTTCATTAACTCGTGATTCCAATGTTGTTGGTTTAGAGGTGAATGAGGGTGTTAATAATGGAATTTATGTGGAGCCTATTCTTTCGGGTGGAAACCCTATTGTTGTTGATGACTGTGTTGTGATTTCGTCTCAGCCTTTGAGTCATCCGGTGGCTGATATTGGGGATGCTAATTCCCCTTTAGTTGGAAAGGATGCAGTTAATCTGCCTGAAGCTGTGGTTTCTGCTCCCTCTCTTAAAATAGTGGACCCGATGATGATTAACTGTAATATTGATAAAGATGTTTTGTTAACTTGTGAGCAAGGTGCTTTGTCTCCTTTGCGTTATGTTGTTGAGGAACCGAATGAGTTTGAATTTATAAGTGGTGGTGGATTTGTTACTCTGATTCCCACTTTGGTGGATGGGGGGAAGCTTCATGGTGATAATGTGATGGAGAAGGCATGGGCTGTTTTGACTTTAACTGATAATGCAGTGGAGGAGACTGGTGCGGAGGAAGTTGTTGTTTCGGGTCATAATGATGTTGATGTGGTTGGTTAGGTATATGAAGTGCCCCTAACTGTCATGTCCCCCAATGGTTTAAACTCCATTTTTGTCTCTAATTTGGGAACAACAAGTTCTGGGCAATCGGTTTGGCATGATGGATATCTTTCATCTTCTGGCGAGGGGTGTGAGGATTTGAACGTTGAGGAAGTTGACTCTATTTAGGAGTTGTATGGATTAGATGTTTGCAAGGTTTCCGAAAAAGTTTTTTCACGTGGAAGTAAATGTTGTAGGAGGAAATCTAGAAGATAATTTATTCTTTTTATCTTGGTTTGGTGATGGGTGGACTGTTAGCAAGGTTGGTGGCTGTTGCAAGTTTTCTTTCTTAGCTTGCTGTCTTATTTGTCCTTGCAGGTTTCGGTTGCTGTTGGTGGCTTTGCTCGGTGCTTTTCAGCTTTCTGTAGAGTTCGGCTTGTTTGTTTGTGGCCTTTGTTTCTTGTTATTGGTTTTTTATTTTGAGCTTTTGTGTGGTTTGCTTAATGTATCTTAGTTTTGATTTTCATGGCCCATAGGTTTTGTTTCAAGTGATGTACCTTTAGAGGGCTTGAATTCCTTAAGGATTTATATTGCTGTTTTAAAATTAACGCGTAGGCCCATGCCGCGGGGTTTTTATTAAAAAAAAAAAGAACTTGCAACAATTGTTGAATGTTTTCCCTCCTCTTTCCCCATAAAATTAGTACATTCAACCAAATAAAGTAAATTATCTTAATGAATTAGATTTCACCCTACCAAATATTTCAAATAATATATAATATAATATATCTATTTATATATTATATTAGATTTTGATTGATATGTAGATTTGGGGGATTGGGTTGTATTATGGAGAACATTTTGCATTTCTCTATTTTATTTTATTGGGTATGTTTTAGCAGGGCCTAACTACACTCAACTTTTCTTATATTCTTTTGCCCCATCAAGCGCCTTATTTTTATGAGATCAAGTCCAAATGAATGTAAATCAAGTACCCAAAGTGTAATTGAAAACATTCAAGTACAATATAAGCTAAGTGATCTCCAAATCTTCAAAGTTTATAATCAAAAAAATGATTTCAATAACAATCCCAAGTTCACTCCATTTTAAGTTCATTAAAGCATTTAAATTCTTAAAGAATCCTCTATGGGCAATCGGATTAACATATGATGTCCAATACAATATTTGGGGATTTTGACTAAAAAACCCAAAATGCTATTCTAAAAATTTATAAATATATTTTATTTTGCAAAAGAGAAAAATCTTAAATTGGAGAGAGCTCAGAAATATGAAGAATTCTAAAGATATGACTAATGATCAATGGTTACAATCACCAATAAAGATTATTTTTTGTCAAACTAAGGTTTTTCAATTGCCATTGTTCACTTGTTGTCGCCTAATTACTATCACTTGATTGAGGTTGCCCGACAAACATCGATATATCTTCATTGTCATATCATATTTGTTTCATCATTATCACTATACCACCATTACTATTCTACTATCTCTAGAGCACCATTACCATGCATATTACTTTTTTCTTACCATCACTACAAGAGTAGCATCACAAGACTATAATTACTAGATTTTCATTATTTGATCACCATCATCAATTGACCATCATCGTCTTTCACCAACCAAGATTAATGTCCATAGTCAACTAACACAAAGAACCTTTATTATTGGATCTCCTTTAAGGGTGTCAGTCCACACAAATGGCAATCACCTCTTATTACTTCTATCGTGATTTTTATTACACTAATAGGAGGCCAATCTTATAATCCCACATCCACTTAGGGGGAATAATATAAATAGAGGATTGTTTTAATTGGGTCAGACTTTTTGTTTTCTTTTTAGAGTTTTTCATATAATTGACTCTTTCATCTCTTATGATATTTATTTTTATTTGTACAATTTTGAATAATGCTAAGACACAAAATATTCACTCTATTGCCATAAATTCTCCTATATATAACTTGTTGTGTAAGATTAAACATAAAATTGAGCATCATTTTTTAATAGTTCAAATTCTATAAATATATGGAAATAAAATTTCTCATTAAATATTAATTTTTTACTAACTTAAGATTTATATAATTTAATATTTTATTCAAATAAAATTATTTATTTAGTTGATAATTGTCCAACATATAAAATTTTATCACATATAACCTTTTTTATTCAAACATAATACTTGTGTTGAAATAAAAAAATTTTAAAACTGGCATCAGTGTTTCTCACATATAGTACTTTTTATTTTGATATAAGAAATTTCAGACACATGTAAAAAAAAATTGATGAATATTTTAGTTTAATGCAATCTATTTTGATCATATAAGCTATTATGTTGGTATTGAATTTATTAAAAAAAGGAATAATTTTCTTTCAAATTATAAATATATTACTAAAAAAAATAAACAAAAAATCTAAATATTTGACTACTTCTACACCCGCAAACAAAAACAGGCTATCCATTGCCGATTGCCCATTGCCCACTGAAATGGATCACCATATCCATCTGCAGTGGTTCACTTCTGGCCCAGAAAGCCCGATACGTGCAGGTCCCTATTGGGCCCACGTTTGAATAAAGTAATATTACTTTATTAAAAAACATTCAAAAGTGGACCCACCACGAACCCGCCATAAAAGTGGTGGACCCTACCAAAAGCGACCGCAATGACTCACCCCCGCACTAAAGGATAAGGCTGCCACTTGTAACCCGATCGCCATCGACGACTGAAGAATCCGAGAACCAATTCAACAGTCATGATCTACAAATTCCACGGCCATGATCGACCTACTCATTAAATGTACTTCGATCGAAATCACTAATCACCGTTCAATTATCTCGCGAATATATCGGGCAGCATATCTTATCGGATAACACCGGAAACCAGTTCCCAAAACCGGTATTGGGATTGCCGTTCTCACTCTTTAAAGCGCCACACAACCCGCAGGCAATTCCCACTAATCGAACGAAAGCGAGAAATCCTTTGCTAACTTGCGCGTATTCGCCGGAATTTAGATCGTCGGAATATGGGATACATGAGTAGGTTGTGGATGGCTACGAGCGTGGCGGTTGTAGGGGCTGGCCACGCGGAGCACGGTGCCAAGTGGAGCGCCGGGATTGATTCGATGAAGCTTGGGAGGGAGCGACTGGCGGCAGCCGGAGTTATTCCGGCTGCCTGGTTGGCCGCCGATCGGTCACGCGGTGACAGCGGGCTCCGGGAGGAGGGCCGCGCTCAGGCGGAGGATTCCCTACGGAAGGTCATGTATTTGAGCTGCTGGGGGCCCAGCTGATGCTCCTGATCGAGATGAAGGAGATCGAATAACTTTCTGTAAAGGGGGAAAAGTGACGATGTAGAGTGGTTATCGTCGATCAGGGACTCACGGCGACGATCGGCCGTCAGGTCGTCGGGGCGTGGGTCAGGATGGATCAGAAGCGCAGATCTGAACTCTGAAGATATTGGAGAAATTGTTCATATCTTTTATGCTTTTTCTCTTAAAACTTTTAGAAAAGGGAGCCTTATCTGTTCGGATTGGACATAAATAAAATCTTTGAAGATAAGAAGCCTCTTAATTCCGAAATTTTTTTGCAGTTGAAAGATTGATTTCTTAGCTAACAAAGAAAAGCTAAACGATAAATCAGAGAGCAATAATTCTTGCAAATCGCTGATTAATTATAAGAGAGAGAATTATTGACATGAAATAAGTTGGGAGATTATCTAAACTGTAAAGATTAAAGAACCTCAATAATTTTTTGAGTACCTCGATCTTCATTTTATTCTTAAAAAAATAATAATTTTGCTAATTTCCATTGTTCCATCGTTTTCAATATTTAATTAAAATTATAATTTAGTTTCCTTATTTTTGATATTTTATAAAGGATTTCATCTGATTTTATAAGCTGAATTTGATCAGCTAAAAATATCTCACTTATGTCAAGAACATCTAGATTCATATCCCATCCAATTAAAAATGGACACGGAGACGTAAGTAGAAAATTCGTGAAACTTATCTACCCTCTAAATTTTGTAAATTTATTGAAAAAAACGAATATATGACCGGAGTTGAGTGTTAAGAATATTTGTGATGGTAAAGATAAAAATTATAATATTTTAATTTTATAAGAAGAATTAATAAAAATAAATAGATAAAATAAGGCTGCAAAGGAGATGCTAGAGTGTTTACATGAAAATTTTTGTTAAGCAAAAAAATTACTGGATATGATCTAATTGAAAGAATTGCACTAGTGTTTGTCAAAGCTTATGAGTGATTTCCATCCCGGTGATTGAGGGAGGTTTTTATACAATATAGCAGGCACAAATTGTAGAGAATGAATTCAATGGTGGAGTTTTGAAGAGTCTTCAAGTATTTATCCTTTGAGTAGAGGAGATGAAAGAGCCAAGAATTTATTATAAATATTGGTTTTTATGTCAGGAGCTAGAGTTAGCATGTGTTAGTGTAAAAAGCCACAAAGGGTACTTGATACATCCTCAAGAAATTATCTTGATCTTGGACGAATCTCGATGCAAAATCAAGTTGGGAACTTTCGAAATTAAAATTGGAACCATCTGAACTCTGATTTCAGTAAACATACAGTCGAATTGAGCGTCTTGGAAATACGAACCTAATGACACTAAATTTGACTCAATCCGAGCCCAAATGAGTCCAAATCAAGGACCCGAAGAGTTTTTGGAAGATTTGAACCACAAATTGGATTAACAAACGGTTTCCAAACATTACGTGCTTATAGTCAAATTGAGCGGCTCGACGAGACGAATCCAATGAGCCCAAGATCGCCGAATTCCGACATCATTAAGACCTTTAAATGTCTGACAAACGATCCACGATCAAGGGATTCAATATCGACCGTCCATCCAATCACTCCTCATTTACCCTTGATCTCTCATATATTTACGGGACATGCGACTCCAGAAATCTATAAATAGACTCCTGCTTTCTTTTGAAAAGGAGAGGCTCCAAGCAAGAGAGCAAGAGAGATATCAGATATCACTCTTGCCTCCTCCTCGACCACTGCCTGAGTTCCGCAGGACCACCGTTTGAGTTCCGCCGGATCACCGCCTGATGTCGGTTTTCCATCGAACCACCACATGAGGCCCTCACCTCCGCCGGACCACCACATGACGTCGTTGCTCCACCAGACCACCACCTGAGGCCCGAGCTCCGCCGGACTACCACTTGAGGACCTAAGTTCCGTCGAACCACCACTTGAGGCCCTAGGTTCTGTCAGACCACCACCTGAGGCCCGGACTATCACGTGATGCTCGAACTTCTACTGGACCATAAACTGAGGCCTGCAGGACTTCTTTATGACCACCACTTGAGGCCCTGAGCTCCGCCAGGCCACCAGTTGAGGCCTTAAACTCCTCCGAACAACTACTTGAGGCCCTCGGTTTTGCCGGACCACCACCTGAGGCCCAGAGTTCTCCAAGACTACCACGTGATGTTCGGACATCTACCAGACCACCACCTGAGGCCTGGACTTCTGTCGGACCACCACCTAAGGCTCGAACTTCTGCTGGACCACCTTCTGATGCCTATAGTTCTACTGAAGTACCACCCTACTACTATGGTCTTTCGGACCCCTATCTCCTGTCGACTATGGTCCTTCCGACCTCTGTCGCCTTCTATGGTCCTTCCGACCTGCATCACCTGACAACGGTCTTTTTAACCCCGATTTCCTGCCAACTACGATCTTTCGGACCTCTGTCTCCTGTCGATTACGGTCCTTTCGACCTCCATCACCTACTATCGTCCTTCCGACCTCCATCACCAGAAAATGGTCTTTCTGACCTCGATCTCCTGCCAACTACGATCTTTCATACCCCTGACTCCTACCGACTACGGTACTTCAGACCTCCTTCTCCTACTATGATCCTTTCGACCTCCATCACCAGACAATGATATTTCTAACCCCGGTCTCCTGCCAACTATGATCTTTCGGACATCTATCTCCAATCGACTACAATCCTTCTGACCTTCGTCACCTACTATGGTCCTTCCGACCTCCATCACCCGACAATGGTCTTTTCAACCTCTATCTTATCGACTATAGTCGTGCCAACCAAATAAATATGTCTATATTGTAACTCCCACCATGTAATGTACTCTATATGATGTATATCTGCACCATCAAGCCAAGGCCTTCTCCCAAGAAAGGACCTCATTTGTAATCGACTGCAAATACTAGTGGATTCATTCAAACTGGGCCAGACCCTTGTCATTTTCCCCCTTTTCAGGGATTTCCACGTAAAAACTCTGGTGTCTTTTATAAATGTTACACCCTCTCTCTTATCTGATTATGTGTTGGATGTTCATATAATGCTAAGAGGTTAAATTTCATATTTCTCTATCGTCACAAATACTCCAGGACGCAACAATATTGATGCAAGTTTAGTTGGGAGATGTTACTTAGGAGACAATGGTTGAGAGATTGTAGTTGGGTGTCATTGGTCAGGAGAATATAGTTTGGCAATTGTCTTCAGGATATAGTATTCAAGCTATGGTGGTAATGAGATTATAATCAATGGATAGTGGTTATGAGATTATAATTGGGTGATGATAGTTCTGATATTATTGAGGGATGTGGTTGGGAGACTGTAGCTGGGAAATAGTTGTTCAATCATGATGGTTGGAAGACTGAATAACAGTCCAATGGCAATAGTCAAGATGAAATGGACTAATGGCGATGATCCTAAAATAATGGTTGGACTATGGCGGTCCAATAATAGTGGTCGAATGATAATAGTCTGATGGAGGTGGTTTGATGGTGGTGATTCGACGTTGATGATCGTGTGGATATGAATCGATTATAGTTGATACGTCGTTAAAAATTTTATCATGATCATGCATGAATCTCGATACAAAATCAAGTTGGAACTTCTGAAATTAAAATTGGGACCATCCGAACTTCGATTTCAACAAACTTATATTCAAACTAAAAGTCTCAAGAATACGAACCCAACGACACAAAATTCAACCCAATCCGAGCCCAAATGAATCCAAATCAATGGTTAAAAAGCATGGTTAGAAGGTTCAAACCACAATTTGGATTACCAAACAGTTTCTAAACATAATGTGCTTATAGTCGAATCAAGCGACTCAATGAGAAAAATCCAACGAGCCCAATATCACCAAATTCCAACACCACTAAGACATTCAAATGTCCACCAAACGGTCCATGATCAAGAGATTCAACATCGGTCGTCCATCCAACCACTCCCCATTTGCCCTTGATCTCCCACTTATTTACGGGCCATGCCACTACAAAAATCTATAAATAGAGCCCCCTTTTCTCTTGAAAAGGCACCCCAAACCAAAGGATTCAAGAGAGAGATCAGAGATCGCTCTTGCCTCCTTACTCCTCCTTAACCACTAGTTGAGTTCTATCGGACTACCGCTTGACGTCATTGCTCCGCCGGACCACCACTTATGGCCATCACCTTTGTTGGACCACCATTTGAGTCCCTCACCTCTACCGGACCACCACTTGAGGCACTCACATCCGCCAGACCATCACTTGAGGCCCTCACCTACGTCGGACCAGCACTTGAGGCCCTGAGCTATGCCAGACCACCACTTGAGATCCTGAGCTCTGCCAGACCACCACCTGAGGACCAGACTTGTACCTAACCACTTCATGAGGCACGGAGTTCTGCCAGACCACCACCTAAGGCCTGAAGATCTACCATACCACCACCTGAGGCCCATAGTTCTACTGGATCGCCACTTGACACCCAGAGTTCTTCTAGACCATCACTTGATGCCCAGAGTTCTGCTGGACCACCATATGATGCCGGAATTTCTCCAGACCACCGCCCAACACTCAAGTTCTGCCAAACCAACCCTTGGCTACCAATTGACTCCCGAATTTTCAAGTAGCATCAAACTTCTTCCAATCCACAGGCGTCGATGTAATTTCTCCTCGTTTGTCACTGGATTTTAACCAAACAGTTGATATTTGTAATATGATCTCCCTCAGGGACGAGTTAGCCCATTGTAATCTACCCAAGCACTAGTGTAATCATTTCAGACTAGGCCAGGTCCCGTGATTTTTCCCCTTTCTAGGGTTTTCCATGTAAAAACATCTTGTGTTCTCTATGTGTGAGCTGGATATTCGTACAATGCTAAGATGCAGAATTTTAACTCTACCGCCGCGCGTATATTTTACCCCGCAATGATAGTGATCAATTAAAGCTTAAGAAATCTTCAAATGTCTATGCTCCCTCCTCTCTTTCCAATTCAGGTCTTGTTCTCCTTTCATATAGAGAATGATGTTCAATTTGTAGTTTTCAAATAGTGGCATTTTAATAAATTTAGGTAAAATCCTAAAACACTATTGGATGGCTTCTATTGATCCCCTTGATCATAAACGTGTCTTTCAGCTAGGGATGTCAATATTTGACACGACACGAAAACTCGACCCGTACCCGACACGGAAAATCCGGGTTGAACCCGACCCGATTTCAAAACGGGTCGGGTTCGAGTTCCAGAAATCGACCCGTTTCAAAAACGGGTCGGGTTCGGGTTGACCCGGCGGGTTGCCGGGTCAATCAGCCAACCCG